GCTTGCAACACAGTGAATTCCACACCCTGCGGACAGCGCCACATCAGAGGCAGCAGCGTGGGGTGTCAGGGAGCTCCCCAAGAGTGGGGGCTGGAGTGCAGTGGCTGTCCGCCCCGCCCCTGGGGACCATCAAATAATCATGTAACTGGCAAGATTTTGTAGAGTTACATGATTATTCAATTAAACCACCTCTAACACCTTTAACACAAACAAGAGGAAAGATTCCCCCTCCCCCCTGGCACAACATACAGTTAACCTGTGGAACTCCTTGCCAGGGGATGCTGTGAAGGCCAAGACTATAAACAGGTCCTGAAAAGAACTAGATAAATTCATGGAGCATAGGTCCATCAATGGCTGTAAGGAAGGGCAGGCAGGTAACCCCCAACAACAGGGGGTTAGCCAGAATAACTGTCTGTTCTGTTCACTCCCTCTGGGGCACCGGCCACTATCAACTGACAGGACAGGGGCCTAGACGGACCAGTGGTCTGACCTGTTATGGTGGCTTTTATGTTCTTAGTCTCATGCACTGGGACAGCCCAGGGGTCTCTCTGAACCCAGATCACCCAGGCTCTGGACCTGTGAACGCGACAAAACCGTCCCCTGAAGCAAACTATCCTCACACGCGAGCCTTCACGGGGCCTTTTATAAACACTCCCCCACTGGAGGCGGGGCTAGAGCGAGCTTGTGTGACTCCGCCCCCTGAGGAAGGCTTAAAAACGGAGCTCCCTGCAGCAAGGCCAGCAGTCCTGCCCTGTCCCCCGCCAGGACAGCCTCCCTCGGCTACCACGGCAACCAGGGGCCGGTCTGTCAGCCTCAGCCCACCCACGAGCATCCAGTCGGCGCTGTCTAAAATCCCACACAGGGGTGGGGCGGGGTTGGGAGTTCAAGCGACGCTAAGCGAGGACGTTGGCTCCCTGTGTTTGTCGGCTCTTGACGTCTCCTCAGAGGCCGCCACCCAGGGGCCAGCCCCTGCCCATCACAGGGGGGGGTTTCCCCCCAACGGGGGCTTGTCCACTGAGGAGCCTCCCCAAACTCACCCGCCAAGGCTGAAATGGCTGCCC